CAGGGGCGACAAACAGACTTTCTATACGCAGCATGGCTCGCGTAACAAGGATAAGTGTAAACTATAGAACCAAACTCAGTCTTAACTCTACCTTATCCTATGACTAGGGGTGGACGGTTCTCAGATAAGGATAAGTGTAAAATAGAACCAAACTAGTCTTAACTCTTTCTTGTCCTAGACTAGTGGTGGAGGGTTCTCGGATAAGGATAAGTGTAAAATAGAGCCAAACTAGTCTTAACTCTTCCTTGTCCTAGACTAGTGGTGGAGGGTTCTCGGATAAGGATAAGTGTAAAATAGGACCAAACTGAGTCTTAACTCTTCCTTGTCCTAGACTAGTGGTGGAGGGTTCTCAGATAAGGATAAGTGTAAAATAGGACCAAACTGAGTCTTAACTCTTCCTTATCCTAGACTAGTGGTGTAGGGTTCTCAGATAAGGATAAGTGTAAAATAGGACCAAACTGAGTCTTAACTCTTCCTTATCCTAGACTAGTGGTGGAGGGTTCTCAGATAAGGATAAGTGTAAACTAGAACCAAACCCAGGACAGTGCTCTGAGAAAATATCAAGGTAATCGATTAGAACATAAACATTTTTGAACATTTCTAATTTGAGACCTGGCCATCAGGGTGTGAAGGACCCTCATCTGTGGTCGATATCACTACTTCCACTGAAAAAGAAACAGAACGTCTCGATCGTCGGAATCCTACTTTGGTATTCGAATATGAAAAGAGCAGGGACTCGGTAGATTCCAATTTCAGATGCGTCAAGGAGAGGAATTATTTCCGACAAAAATATCACGTCGGGGTCATTAAAATGTATCGACGAATAAAGAACCAAAATAAACGACTGAGATATAAATTTTGTTTAATAAACAACATGGTTTTAAAAGCACTATTATATATTTGGTTTGGTTAGTTGCAGAGCTTCCAGACTAGAAGACGATATCTACGGGTCTACACAACTGGAGAGTTAGAATTCTATACAGAAAACCAAACAAACACTTAAACTGAGTCAAGTTCAATCTGAAAACTGAACTTACGTTCGGAAAACCTATCCTAAGTAAAACAGCACTGCAATCAATTCAGAAGTTTTGACTGAAAACTGAAATTAAATTAAGAAAACTAAACTTGAAATAAGAAAACTAAACTTGAATTAAGAAAACTAAACTTAAAAAAGGAAACTAAACTTGAATTAAGAAAACTAAACTTTAATAAAGAAAACTAATCTTGAATAAAGTAAACAAAACTTGAATTTGACAGACTAAACTTTATATAAAACCAAGTTACATTGATCTTGGTTAGAATAAACTGTGTACTTTATAGTGTACTGAAAAGGGTACTAAATGTGTAGTGTGTACTCTATATTGTACTACAGATGGTACTAACTGTTTACTAATATATTGTACTGCAGATAGTACTCATTGTGTAGTATATTGTTATGCAAATGGTACTAAATTTGTACACTATATTGTACTGCATATGGTACTAACTGTGTACTCTATATTGTTCTGCAGTTGGTACCAACTGAGTACAAGTATATTGTATTGAAGATGGTGATTACTGCGTACTTGTATATAGTACTGCAGATTGTACTAAATGTGTAATTGTAATGCAGATGGTTGTATCTGTGTGGTCTAATGTACTGGAGATGGTACTAACTGTGAACTAGTATATTATACTGCAGATGGTACTAACTGTTTAGTCTATATTGTACTGCAGATGGTACTATGATGAGTGGGATGGCTGCCTTGAGTTTGAGTGGAGTGGGTGCGGGGGAAATGCCAACAATTTCAACTCAAAAGAACGTTGTGATGAAGTCTGTGGTCTTAGTCCAGGTTAACTTAAAATCTATATCTATTCAGTGCAGTGGCGTATTCTGGATTTTGTCCAGGGGGCTTAAATTATTCATTTTGGGGGGGGGGGGCGTTAACCCCCGTTGGAGCCCAGAAAAACTCACAGATCCCCCATAAATCCCCCCACCCCTTTGGATCCGCCTCTGAAATCAATCCTTAATCTTCTTTTCAAAGAATTAATTATTTGAACAGTTTGTGTTAAGACAACATTTTTTTTTGTAGAAATCGATGCACCCGTGTCAGTAGAGTTTTCTGAAAAAAATATTAAAAACATTGAGAAAAAACAAACTCTAAGCCTGAAAATAAAAAGGTAAGAGAAAGAAATTATGAAGTAAAAATGAAAAAAAAATCTTTTCCTAAATTTTTTTTAGTGGTTGTTCTGAGCCATTAGCTGTTGGAGATTGCAGAGGAGCATTTAAAAAGTTTTATTATAATTCCTCTACTGGCAAGGTAGAAAAATTACATTTAAAAATATTGAAGTTTAAAAATTTAGAAGCGGTTGTTTGGTCCAAAGTGAATAATCACTTTGTGTTTGGTCAAAGTTATTATTGATTCTACCATTAATCTTTTAACGATAATTCATTGTTAAAACTAAGTGAGATGCCACATTATTCTTACAAAACTGACATTATTATACTAAATAAAAAAACGGTATGTTATTCTTATACAGTGGTAGGCGATTATATCAATAGAATGAAGACGACTTTCGATTTCAATTTTGGTTTTTATCAAGATGTTTAACAGCATGGATACATAAACAAAGAAGTCAAGACAAGCTGTCAGTTAAAAAAGCTTCTCTTTGATTGCTTGTAAACTTATAATTCGAAAAAACTTGTTAACAATCAAAACTTAAATAAAAATTCGGCTTCATTGTATTCATATAATCGCCTACCACTGTACCTACAGGGAACCCACTAAAATGTGGAATAGGAAGACGACTTTTCGACTCCATGTAAATCAAAGCAATTGCTTTAGAACGACCCATTTGCACTTTATAACAACACTAAATTTGAAGTCGTCCTCCGTTATCACACTTTTATGGGTTCTACTGTCTCCAAAAGATTATCATGTTTCTGGAAGCTCACTGTAAATTAAGATATTACAATAAACAACAATTTAGTGTGATGAGTTCGTGTATGGAGGATGTGGTGGGAACAAGAATAATTTTATTGACGAGGAGACTTGTAAAAATACATGCATTGTCAATTAAATTCTGGTTTTAAACCTGTTATTAATATAATGTACAGGCGCGTCGTATAATATATAAATACAATGAAAACTACTTTCGATTTCAGTGTTAATTTCTAAAAAAGGCTTTTCTAACAGCATGGATACACATTACACATACATAAACATTGAAAGATAGAAAAGCTGTCAATTAACAACTTCTCTTTGTTTACTTGTAAACTTGCAACTTGAAAAAAGCTTGTTAGAAAAAAATAGAAAATTCCTCTGAATTTTATTGATATAAACGCCGACCATTGTATTATAGCAACGTTAACTACCCTCGCATGTACACTGTACAGGGTTATCAATTCATGATGAGACTTCAAAGACGACTGATTTTTTTTGCAGCAATACATTTTTTATTTAGATCTTTGTCCAACCATTCATTAACTAGCGTTATTAACTAAAGCAATGAGTTTAAAGAAACTTATTTAACCTTTAGATCGTTATAGTTTCGAAAAGAGTTCCCAGGTCGTCATTAAAATTTAACCTTTCGTGGATAACCCTGTATGGTTCTCTGTATACTATTTATACTACTTATATGTGGATATTTTACAGTATTCGAAATAAAGTATTATCGAATATTATAAAAAGTATTTCCACCACAGGAATTTATGAATTTCAAATATATAACTTATCTAAAAAAGCTCGATTATTAAAGTTAGAAGTTTAGAACTAGTTTTGTTCATTAAAAGTCGTCAGTTTACATGTTTTAGATAAATAGTCCTATTTGAAACATAATCTAAGTCATCATGATGCAATTTATTAATGTCAATTGGCTATTTCACATGTTATCCCTTAAAAAGGATTTAGTAAATTTGTGTCTATTATTTCTACATTAATCCAGATCATATGGGCTGAAAAATGTGGGAGTGTGGTACTATTTCTAATTTCATAAGATTATGAAATTATTTTAAAAATTAATTAAGGAAGACTTGAAAAGGCCAAGGGTCTTTGATTACTGATAATTGATATAAATCTAAAAAAATCCCTTTTTTTGAGCATTTCAAAATGTGGGGTTCCTTCTAATTATATCTTGAAATTCACGGAGCTGTTAAAAAGGTTAACAATTTGTTTATTATAAAATTAATTGGATTCTGCTTGAATTTTTTTTCAACAACTCCGTCTACTACTAATTGCAGTCTCAGAGGCGTAGTCATATGGGGTGGGGCTATGGGGGCTGAGCCCCCCTGGAAAGAAAAAAAATTTAGGCTACCCCCCTGGACAAATTCGTGACTACGACTCCTAAGACCCTCTACAGGCTTTTAGCAGGGCCGTAACTGGGGACACTTGGGAGAGGGCAGTGGCACATGGGCGCATGCCCCTCCCTGTGATATTCAAACTTCAAATAAAATAATAAAATTGCACCCCGCCCCCCCCCCTCTTCAAGAACTTTCAGTTACGGCATTTAAGGTGGGTTACCTTGTACTCCCTGTATTCATGGGGAGGGATGAGGGATCAAGATCGTACACAGGGGGGGGGGACAAGAGGGGTAGTGCCCCCCTAGAACTCAGGCTATAACACTTTTCAATTCTGAAACTGTAGAGTGAAGAAAATAAAAATTAGTTTGCTGTTTTTTTCTGCTAGTTTTGTTTGAAGGAGAGATAAAGTAGTACTATGCCTATAGCGTATCCAAGAAACAAAATGTTTTGAATTACCCAATTCAAGTTTTGCCCCCCCCCCCTATGAGCTCCTAGTGGGAGCCCCTAGATTTAATTCTGTGTGTACGCCCTTGGGAGGGGTTAAGGTAATCTTTCCTCCTTTAAGAGAAGTTTTTACGCATGTTACACCTGATCGAAATGATCACAAGACTCGGAGAGAATTCATTAAATTTTTCCAACATTCTTGCTCCCCTGAACATGTAAACCGAAAATCCTTTACGAGGACTTAACAACTTCTTTACGTCGAAACGTCTGATTTCATTTACGACAAAAAAGTGAAAAAATCTGCATTTCAAAGGATTCTTGGAAATCTTGAAAATATGGCGTCGTTCCTAACTTGGCGGAGGGGGGGATAGATAAAACTCCTAAGAATGCGCGAATACCGGATAATATTTCTTATATTCTCTCTCTCTAT